GGTCACATTATAACTTATACCCACTTTGCAAAAAGAATTGCAAACGTACCCACTTTTCAGGTAACTTCAAACATACGTGCTTGAAGTAGCAAAAATTTATATCTAAAGTTTGAACTTCAGAATGTTTTGCCTGAAGTGTAGCCTTATCAAAGCAAAACTTCAGATATTTTTGCCTGAAGTTTGGCCTCACTTGCAAAGGCAATCACGCAAACTTCAGTTCATAGTGCAATGGAAAATTTCAGTTCAATAAAACTACATCATGTTTTAACTGAAGTTTTTGTTTTGTAATTGCTGAACTTCAGCATTTTAGGAGCTGAAATTTTATTTTGTAATTACTGAACTTCAGCATTCTAGGAGCTGAAGTTTTGTTTTGTAATTGCTGAACTTCAGCATTCTATGACTGAAGTTTTATTTTGTATTTGCTGAACTTCAACATTCTAGGAGCTGAAATTTTTGTTTTATATTTGCTAAACTTAAGCAGTCTTAGAGCTGAAGTTGTGTTCTGCCTTTCTTTGAAGTTAAATGGCTTTAAAATATAACTTAAGCCAAATTGTGCTGATGTTTTAACTGATTTTTTTTATAATGTTCTGAAGTTATTTTTCCTATCTTTTATTTTTCAGTTCTGTAGCCCTTTTCTGTCGTTTTTCCTGGAGATGATATCATAAAGCAAAGGGTAAGCGAATTCCAAGAGATCGCGAGAGTCACTATTGTGTATAATAAAGTTCACATGCATGTGTCATTCTTGTGGCATGTAACTTGGAAGAGAGGACATGTAGTGGTCAGTTGCTGTTGTATGTTTAAGAAGGATGGATCAGGGGAATATATAGTAGTTGATAAGATTTAATAAAAACTTTATAGATCCAATCAATAATACTTATACAAAGTCTTATGTGTTTGAGAGAGAAAAGAAGAAGATGAAAATAAGAGGAGGAAGAAAGGAGCGCATAGGTCACGTGGAAGAAGAGGGGGCGTCTGAAATTGTCAAAATTGGGGTATAGGTTAAAGAATTTTAAAAATATGGGTATAAGTTAAATGGGGGCGACCAAATAGGGCGCCCCGTGCAAGTTTTACCTAATAAGGTTTGTTCCTTAGGCTCCCAAATTTGGGACCCCTATTTTTATAAAAATAATAGGTTTATAGGTACTTTAAAATAATAATATTTAATACTTCTAATACAAAAGTAGACTTTTTCATATAAAAGTAAAGAAACTTTTTTTTATAAATAAATAAAGTAACCATTTGACTTACTTATAAATAGATAATATGAATAGTTTTCCTAACGTCTGAATTTGAGTTCACGTTTTTTTTGAATTAAAAGTGTTAAAGAGAAATAATACAAACATAAGATAATACTCTAATCGAAATAAAAGTGCAGGCATCAAAGACTAGTTTATATAAAATTGTGGAACAAAATACAAGTTGAAAGGGAAAAAGGTGTTTACTTGTTCAAATTTAACGGACTAAGCCATACATAATTGTTTGCGGAGATAGATCTTGTATCCAAATTAATTGAAAATAGATTCTCGTACCTCAAATACAAGCGCATAAAGATCATGTCGCTTTGAAGTTTCAATCTTTTTTCCAGTTACCTTTTTTTTTTTTTTTTTTTTTTTTTTTTTTTTTTTTTTTTGTGTTAATAAAAAGTTTATTTACCAAATTTTTTAATATGTATAGCTCAAGAGAACAAGAAAGAGAAAGAACGAACTAGGCTGGGCATGATGCCCTAACCCCTCTGCACCTAAAAACACTTTCTAGCATCTCACCATCTTAGACAACACTAGCGACATCGAGGTATAAGGTATAAGAAGGTATAATGCTAGTATAAAAATTTAATATATATCACCCTAATATTTTTTTTGGTTAGCAAACCTGGTATAAGTTATCCCGGGATTAAAATTAGTACCGAGATAATTAACTTATACCTTGTAGAGGGTGGGGTAATTAGTGCCGGGATAACTTATACATTCTTCTTAGAAATTATGCAATTGTCATTTTTAATACAACATACCAAACAATGGATAAACAACAATACCAAGATAACTAATCCAGCATAACTTATCTCAGCATAACTTATCCCGGCATAAGTCGTATTCAAACCAAACAACCCCTAAAAGGTGTTAAAGTATAAAAAATTAAACACACAAGGGAAAATGACTATGTATAGCCGCTCTCAAAATAATAGCCGAAAAATATATTTTTTTTTTTGTATATATATATATAGATTATGTATGTTATATATAAAAATTATACAAATTTTATATACTTTTTAGACTACCAAATATAAATAATTTATGTCACGAGCCAAAAAAAAAATTACCTAACTACACAATATTTTTTCGACAAAGGGGTGTCAATTAACACTTCTTGGTATAAGGTTGAACCGCCATTGGACAACACAGCTATACAGGATAGAAATTAAGTTTCCTAACATACATGGCCAGTTTAGAGAATAGATTTGCTCTAAAATAGACTTCCTGGATATTGTATAAGGTTGTTGCATATAAGTTTTTTCCAACTCACTTTCTAAAATTCTCTAAAGTTATTGCCATGTGAGCAAGATGTTACGGGTTTGAACCGTGAAAATATTCTTTTACAGAAATGTAGGGTTCAATTCATGTGGTCATGCCCTTCCCCGAGGTTCGCACATAACGTGAACATAGTGCACCAGGCTGCCCTACTTGAAAATCTCCCTGGCTTTGAAGATATCAAAGACATTCTATGTCTTTGATTACACATGTTTATAGTGAGTGGTGGGGTCAGTTTTTCATCTAACTAATTCAAAAAATAAAAATAAAAATAGAAAAACACAAAAAAAGGCAAGGGGATTAAATATCTAATGTATATACATACATAATATTTTGATCTTATATATACATTGTAATATTCCACTCATGCTTGTAGTATAATGGTTTTTTAAATCTTTAATTTAAATTTTACAATGTTGATTAATTTATCCATTTAATCCAAAAAACCAAACAGTGAGAAATGGAGTGAATTTAGTTATTGGAGGGATAAACACGAAGAGAAATAATTAATGAAGAAGGGATGGGGTGAGATGGAATAGAGGTTTTGAGAAAACAATTCATAGATTAATTTTAGGATGTACAATTCTCAACTTCTTCTTCTTCTTCTTCTTTTTTTCCATAGAAGGTGTGGCCTAATGATAATGAAGCGGGTTAAGACTTGAGAACCAAAAAGTCTCAGGTTCAAATTCTATTGGAGACAAAAATAATAGGTGATTTTTTTTCATTTGTCAAAGTCGTAGACAGAGTTAACTGATACTTGTTGCTAGTAGAAGGTAGCAGATATCTCATAAAATTAGTCGAGGAACGTACCAGCTGGCTCGAACAGAAAAAATTATTGTTTTTTTTAATTTTATTTCTACATATATCAAGTTAACCTTAATCATTTCCTAATTATTTCAAGCACTTCCCTTATTTTATTTTAAAAAGTTCCGTATTATATTGGGTTTGGACCTTTCTATGGCTCTAAAGCCCATTACACTTCAACCCAAAGTAGCTGCTAAAAGCAATTTCTCTAAAGTCTAAACCCACAGTTGTCTGAATTCTTAAACCCTTACCGGAGCAACGTTGACGGTAATACAGTCTTAGCTTTTTCCTTTTTCGTTCGTTAAACTGAAATTACTTTATGCTTATTTTTCTCTATTTATGGTTCCATGTTCAGGTGGAATTTTGAAGATTGCACGAAAATTGAATTTGGAGTTAGTGGGCGCAGTTGTAATTCACAGCAATGGTAGCACTACTTCTGAACATAGCAGATCCATTCTATTTACAATATGATTATTTTGTATAAGTTTCAGTGATTTGTAAGACTGTAATAAATGGAATTCTGATCATTTCTTCGTTCATGCATGTCTGCGTTAATCTTCTCTGTAATTTTAATACGTCCCAGATATTAAAATGCTTAATTAAGTCAGAAAAACACTCTACAACAAATCGGAATATATTAAGAAATATAATACTCCATCCAATAAGAAATATCCCCACATTGTAATCCCTAAAGAACATTTAAGGGTTATCTGATTACTGGAATCCAATTTGAATGTAGCATTTTATGCTGAATTCAACATAGAATAAAACACCTAAAAGACCAATATAACCTTGATCCATCTTCCATATTTTTTCTTTTTTTACATTAAAAAGAACAGTAAATTTTAAACTTTATATTATGCACTGATTATTTCATTTTTAATGCAAAGAACCCAACGTCCGCTTAAAAATATTGATTATCAATCCATGCATTAAAATACCTGCATTGAAATCCATGTATTCATCCTTTAAAAAGAACTCGGTAATTTCAAAGTCTTTTAACCTCATTTTCCATGCGGAAGAAAGGAAAAGAACATGAGTTGCAACCACGGCTCCCGCCTCCACCGCCCCCACTGCCACCACCGCCACCATCACCACGGCCTCCGGCTGGACAGCAGCCTCCGCCTCAGCCTCCCCCTCAGCCTCAGCAAGTCCAAAGGTACATGGGTTTATGATTCCTTTAGAAAATGATAACAAGTCATAAACTGTATTGTGAAAATTCCCCTAAAAAGGCCAAAATCATACTATAATTATTGAATTCGTCATTTGCAAATGGTCAGAAATAACAAATAACAAACTTATGTTTGTCCCATGAGGACACTGAAAGGTCTTAGGTAGAGTTCTGTGCAGTTGTAGCTGGTGAGAAGAAACACATCCTCCTTTAGTACCCTTCTTAAACAACTTTTATCCTGCCTTTAGCTCTGTATTTTTCAGTGTGTGCTCATCAACTGCTATAGAAAAGGAAAGCACACTAAGAGGAAAGTCACACAGAGAAATCTGCAGATAAGATTAGTTAGAACCAACTAATGTACCACAGACCAAAATGTTTATAGAAATACCACATTAAAACCGATCTATCTAACAAATCATTCAATTTCTCCATTAGCTTCAAAAGAAATCATCATATTCAGTCATATCAATCAAACGCGCATGTATGATTCTGATCTGACATATTTATCACGTGTTAGGAGTAGAAACCAAACTAAAGAGTAGAAAAACCTACAAAAGTATTCAGTTACGTGACAAGTATAGCTGCAAGTGTCTCATACTAGCTGATTATCAGGATTATCTGGTGAATTACTGAGACGATGCATAACTAGTTCTCATGCTTCTTACCCCACCTCCGACTCTTCTTTTTCCTTCCCTTTCACCTTTTTTTTCAAAAATTATGCATTGTCTATTTTGTCCCAAACAAATGATGTCTTTCAAGGTTTGCAAGAAAATGAATAAGTTAGTGGTGTAAATCATAAGTAACAGTACAGGATGCAAATAAGACAACAGTGCAGATATTGAGAAAATACAAAGAACTCGAGTGGATATGAAGATCACATATCGATTTCTTCATCACTATGCTTGTCTGCACATCTACAAATGCACTAAGTTTAACTTGACAAATTTAGACTAAATTCCCCAAAAACCAATGCATTTTGCAAGAACGTGCTAGCAAACAAGTGCTTGTGATTGAAAAAACATTTTACAAGGAGATATGAAAGGACTGTAGGCTGTAATCTAAGAGGATGACAAGCACAAAACCTAGCACTAACATCATCTTGGTTGCAACACAGGTCACTTTACATTAGAGGAGCCGCGTCATTGAACAGGGCCAGCATAGGTGCATTAGACATGCCCACCCTTTGCCCTACATCGATGGGTTGGTTAATGTATCTTAATGTTGTGAAGATGGTTTTTCCAGATTTTCAGTTTAATACACACTTCAATGACAATGAAGGTAAATTTAGTACTGCATGATAATTCTCCTTTTTACATAATTGATAATCAGTCACTCTATTTCCGTAAACATACGAAAAAGAAAACTATAAGTAGTCAATCATGTTAAAGATATTATTTTTATAACATGTCTTCCGCAGTTCCACGATTTCATATGGGACAAGATGTCTACTATAATCTGGATGACTTTAGTAGCCATACACCTTTTTCATTGGAGCCCAAGGCAACAGAGGCGCACCAACAACTTATACTTAACCAGGTGCAAGAAAAGAAGCAAAAGATGATGGTACCTCTAACTAATTTGAAGAATGCGTATATGTATGGATATAGTTCTTTATGCCACCCAAACACGGAGTGGATTTCAGAATCTCTAGCTGACATTAAAGCAACAGTACGTATTGACAATGATGAAATACTAGAGAAACACGTAAGTTTGTCCTTTCAATTGTCACTTCTTAAATTGAATATATTTTATAGATCAACATCATTAAAAAAAACACAGTGAATCAACTATATTCACTACTTTATGATACAGTTGGAGGCAACAATGAGGGATGCTTGTCAGACCTTGTCCGAGGAGCTAGGAGAAAACACCTATTTCTTGGATAATTTGTTAGTCTAACCAACAGTTACTTTGATTTAGCTTAGAGTCTCCTTTTTTCTATTACTAATTTTGACTTCTTTTTTCTTGTGGTGGTCTTTGGTAGGAGGGGTCAGTTAGAGGACAAGACTGTGTAAGTACATTCTTATTATGTTCAAAGTTAAAGATAAAAAATAACTTGATTTGTTTAAATGCAACTTTTTTTTTGTTTATTGTTGCTTTTCTTTTCTCCTTTTTGCTAGGGCATTGAGCATGACTTCTTTGTCGATATTAGATGTCCAACACGCTGCAACTGCAATATTAATAATGAAATGCTTTGAGAGTAGACAGGTGTGTATATAATTCTAGGTGTGTATATAATTCTGTTGTATACTTCCCTATCTTGCACATAACTAGTAACACGATTTTATTCTTTGCACCAACAGGAACATCCGTTGCAGCTCTATACCTCGAGAATCCGTAGCATATTGAATAGATCCATCGCACTTTGGGCTCATGCCGATATTATATATTCATGGTTCATCAAGAAACGAACCTCGGGTAAGTAACATATTTCAACTTCCTGCGATCCAATAGCAACTACTCCCTCCATTCCATTTTACGTAAAGGCGCTTGACAGGGCACGAAGTTTAAGAAATTAAAAGACTTTTGACATGGAAGCCAAATATAAACAAAGTACCAACATTATCCTTCTAAATGAATGGTGGTGAAAGTATCACGTCTTTTCATTCATCATCCTAATAGAATAATGAGCTTCGATATTAAGTGGGTCCAACAAATCATGCCATTAAGGGCTTGTTTGCAAAGCCACCTTGTAATTGGATTTGGATATAGTTGGATGTAATTACACAGTTTTGGCATGTTTGTCTGATCAAGTAATTACTTGGTCAGCATGTAATTAGGTGTAATTGAGAGGATGCAATTAAACTCTCCAATTCTCAAGCGGGGGGAAGGACTGAAAATTGCTTGTAATTACATGGTGTTATTTGTTGAATTTCTTTTATTTTCTTTTTAATTTACTTTTTATTTCTATTTTTTTTTCTTTTTATTATTTTTTATTTAACTTTTTAAAATTCGTTTTTTCAAATATTATTCTTTTTACATTATTTATCTTTTATTTTCTTATTTCTCATTTCTCAACCTTTACTTCACGTGTTTCTACATAATTTCTCAAATTTTATTTCTTTCTTAACTATTTTTCTTTATTTTTTTTGCTACACTTAGCTATATTATATTCTAATTTTTCTAAAAAATTATACATCGTAATCTTAGAAAGAATAAGTCATCCACAAACTTGACTTATAATGAGTGATGTCATTAAAATTGAAATTTATTATTTGATGAGGTTATATGCAAACTTAACTATGTTAAAATGATAGATTACTTTTTCATATTTAATAATATTCTCATTTTTCAACCTTTATATTTTTGTGATTCCATGTAATTGCTCATATTTTTTATTTTCCTTTATTTTCTTCCTTTAGCATAATTGTGCTATTATTCTAGTTTTGAAACTACACCTCCTATTATTAGAAACAATAGTCATTAATAAACTTGGCATATAAGGAGTGATATTATTAAAGTAGAATCTCATTGTTGAATGAGGTTATAGACTTATGTTCTCCTTTTCTTTTGGATTATATTTACTTGAATTATCTTAAAATTTATTTTATGTTATGTTGTAATTTTACATAAGAGTATCATGTTAATTTATTTTTTTTGGATTTTGAATTTATGTTATATATTCGGTTCCATTTTATTTGCTTTAGTAGTATTGACTTATTAATTCAAATTGTTCATTTTTCAGTTAGAATGATATATTATTTTTTCGTAAAACATTTGAGTAATGTTATGACATTATATTTATAAATATTAATCTTTTGTACTTTTAGTTTTTATAATTAATTACAGTAAAATATTATTAATTTGAAATATATATATTATTTTTACAATATTAGTTACAAATATATGACTAGTAATTAATATATTTTCAAGAAACATATGTATCTTAAATGCCAAATCTAATATCATTTATAAAGGCATATATTTGTTAAATCTTAACTTTTAATTTTTGATAATTAACTTTATATTTATAATTTAATCTAACTGTGTAACTACCCTTCTGCAACCAAAGAATACACTTGTAACACTGTAATTACATTATAACAAACAAACAGGTCGTCGTAATTACAATACTATGTAATTACTAGTAGTTACTAGCCTGTGTAATTACTACCCTAGTAATTACACCAATTACCTGGTGGCTTTCCAAACAGACCCTAAAGGTAAAAAAGGGGATGCAAATATTAAATAGATTTAGGAATGAGAAAGGTATCAAACTTTCTAGGACAGACTAAAAAATGAAAACGCGTTACACAAAATGAGACAGCGGGAGTATGTGGTTTTGGGCAGTGTTTTTGAGAGCGAGAAGCGCAAAAAAGCGACAGGGGCTCGCCTCGCTTCAAAAGCGAAGCGCACGCTTTATTGAAGTGAAGCGCAATTCTTAAAAAACATAATATAAACCTTGCAAAGACACAATATAAATAATCAAAAAGTTCAATTTATATATAAGAAAAAAACATNAAAAAAAAAATCGCGCATGTCCTAACTGTGAGCAGACGCCTTGACGGGAACAAGAAGAAGAAAGAAAAAAAGGAGAAGAAGAAAGGAGAAGAAGAAGAAAGAAGAAAAAAAGAAGAAAAATTACCTGGAGGATTGGAGGTCTCAGGCGACTTGAACCCTATCAGCACTCAACAACAATTGATTTGGGAAGAAGATAGAAATGATCTTCACTTTGATCTTAGGGGTCTGTTTTGTATAATAAAAAAACAGACCCAACTTTTTTTTAAAAAAAAAAACTGACCCCTCTGAATAGAAGTGAGCGATTTTGCGCTTCTCGTTTCAAGGTCGCTTCGCACTTTTTCGACTGAAGCGAGCGCTTCATGTGGTCGAGTCGCCTCAGACATGGAAAAGCGAGCAGCCATCGCTTCGCGTCGCTTCTCGCTTAAAGCGATCGCTTCGTCGCTTTTTAAAACACTGGTTTTGAGTATCACTTATGCAGTGAAAAAGTGATGAACCCATGCTGCGTTTAAGATTTAGTCGAAAGCTAGACAATTAAGCTTAAGTAGTAACAACGTAAGGAATGGAAGTACGGAAAAGCATGAAAAAACATTACGTTCTTTCACCTAGTTATTGTTTCGCGTAAAGCAAGGAGAACATACCCACATATTCTTGAAAAAGATATAGCCCATTGAATGCTCATTGATGCAATGGTAAGAGTTGCCACCTCGTGACAAAGAGGTCATTGGTTTAATCTGAAGAAACAACCTCTTATAGAAATGCAAGGTAAAACAACGTACAACTGACTTGTGGTGTCCTTTCCTCGAACCTTGCGCATAGCGTGAGCTTAATGCTTCAGGTTGCCTTTTTCTTTAGGTGCTCCCTTTCACAACCTGTTACATTATGAGTAGCAAAGTACTCCTATAACGTAATGAGCTCTACCAAAAAGAATAAAACATCCAAAAAAGGAGAATGTCATAGCTACTGTTGTCCATCTTCTAAGGATCTTCTAAAGGAAAGGTAAAGCTTAAAGTCAAAGAATGTCATAGCTTGGGTTTCTGTTGTCCCAGATGGACAGGACCACCAGATATATTCGACTTGCTTTACTTCGTAGAAACGGAGTGCAAACTTTGCCCCTTCACATCTGTCTAGTGCTTCTATTAGTCCTGCTAAATGCAATGGCACTTGAAGTTCCTTTCCAATCAACTTGACTGCCTTGTTAAAAAATTAGAATGCATCTAAAAGTTCCAACCTTTAATCAAGTTAATAAGTGCACCCAATGCGTTTATAGTCATACTGACAGCTCTAAGAGTTTGAACAGTCCAAAACTATACTACAAAACTCCTAGAGAATCCAAGCCTGTTAGCTGCAGTTTTGAGGGAATCAGGACCTCAAGGACCTCAAGCTTCTGGATCGTACGGTGATGTTTACAGAGTCCCTTTATTGCTTGGAAATGTTTGGGGACTACGGCCCGGTGAATATGCATTCAAAGTTTCTAAAGGTCAATTTACTCATCTTGAGGTGATACAATAGTTTGTTCTGAATCTTTCAGTAGTTTGTTTTGTATCTTTCAGTGACTGAAGTTATCAATCCAACTGAAAATTTGCTTGTGCAGACTGATGCAAGTATTTTGCAACTCATGCCATACGATAATATGATTAAGCTCATAGGTCAAGGTTATGGACTGCTCGATTCCAATAAAGAGGTTTATTTCCTAGTTACAAAGTGGATCCCTGGTGGAGATTTAAGTACTAGAATAGAAGGTACATCTTTCTGTAGTTCATATGTTGTCTAAACCTTCTCATTGCATTTTAACTTACATATTTTTATTTTCTTTGCTTCAGATTTGAGTTGGGCTCAGGTTAGAAAAGTTCTACGAGGCCTTGCCTATATACTACATTTGGTGCACAAAACCAGAGGCAGCTGTTTGTGTGATCTTAAACCCCCAAACATTTTATTAGATGGGGTAACGAATTTCCTAGATTATTCTTATGCAAGTTATATATATAGATAGATAGATATTCAATGTTATTAAAATGATTGTTTCTATTTTTTTCATACTTGCGCAGAGTGATAATCCAATCTTATGTGATTTCGGATTATTAAGCTATTCAGGAGACAACATAGGAAGCATGTGGCACACCACTTTATAATGACTCCAGTGATGGTATGAGCTAAACAACATTTTTTCATATAGCCTTTAAATTTGTGGTACAACCAAACGCTTAATGTTCACAACAATTATATGTTATCATAGGGTTCTGAATAGTGAATGAGAGATGGTCATGAGTGGTATATTGCAACATAACTTTGTCCAAAAAGGTGGTGTGTCTTGATGCAACGGTGTCCACTTGTACGGATAGAGCTGTTTCTATTTAATATGGTGGACAACATTATATAGGATCTCATAGAAATTGGGGGTTGCGGTTGGGATCCATAGTCTAATTTCTATTAAGGTGGAAGAGAGAGAATGTGGGATGAATGAGATATTATATGTTTAAGGGCATACTTTCATAGTCTAATTTCTATGAAGGTGGAAGAGAGAGAATGTGGGATGAATGAGATATTATATGTTTAAGGGCATACTTTCATAGTCTAATTTCTATGAAGGTGGAAGAGAGAGAATGTGGGATGAATGAGATATTATATGTTTAAGGGCATACTTTCATAGTCTAATTTCTATGAAGGTGGAAGAGAGAGAATGTGGGATGAATGAGATATTATATGTTTAAGGGCATACTTTGCAATATATTATAAAACCCTATACAATAAATAATCTCTAAGAACACAAATTTCAATTCAATGAATACATTTGTAATTGTTCCAGACAATGATTTGTATGCCCCTCATACATAATATCTTTTAGCTGAACAGTTTCCAGTCATTTTGCAAGATGCGTTTATCTTATAGATTGAATGAGAAAGATTTGTCACATCTTCAGTTTAAAAAGTTCTCTCCAAGCCTCTAATTAGCCAGAATCGAAAAATTTCCCACTACCATTCACTATTAGATAAACCTATATATAATTACCAACCCAAGAATTCTTGTACATTCAAAACTATAGCAAGACTTGTATAATCAGTAGAAAGATGATTATCAGATATCCAACTGTAATCACTAAAAAGATTATTATCATAATCCAATTAATGCTTATTTTTTTCGCAATGTGTTGGTTCATGGTTGTGTCATGGAAATACTAAATTATCATGTCCATTCACTTTCTCTAGATGCAAGCCCTGGACGTGATGTCTTTGCCTATGGGGTCATCCTATTCCAGCTCCTCACACACGCAGTTGAGGTACCGGAGAATGGCTACCGATTCGGTACACGAATAGATGCATATCTCCACCAAGGTAAGGATCTCACAATATTCGTCAAGCAACACATGAGAGCTGCTGGATGCGAAGGAGAAATAGCAAGGAGACTACTTACTATAGGGGCAAAGTGTGTCAGTATAAGAGCAAAAGAAGAACGTCCCTCTGCTTTGGAAATCCTTGAGGCATTTCAGGAGATGAATATAGAGTTTGGCTTTCTTTTTTGACTGGTAATGTTATTGATGTAAGTAACAGACCACATACAATAGATTTGGTATCATTGCAGATCGTGTAGAAAACTAAGAAAGTCAACTATGTCTTCAGCCTCTAACAAATTGGCGGAAGTCAAGTTGCACTAAAAACTAAGCATATGATTTTTGCCTTTCAGATGGTTAGATTCATAATTTTTTGTTTTGCTTAGCTGCATAATTAAGAAGCGAGAAAACAAGAACTAGTGTATATGATTTCTTCAATGTGCATAAGCATTCTGAGATGAGAAGATCAAGAAAAGCAAGCAAAGATCATTAAATAGATACAAATACCATGAAGAATCTCCTTGTCTGATGAAGCCCATGGAGAGCCAAGACTAAGATGTAACCATCAGCTGTTTCATCCTTCTGCAAACAAAATTGCTCTTCACAGCATGGCAGACGAGAGGTTTAGCTGCATGAAATAAAAAGAAATATCAATAATAACTCAATCAGTATTCATTAACAAAAGGTAATTGCTATTTGTGCAGAGAACTATTTTGTACCAACAGCAGTATATAAGTTAAAGAGAAAGATAAATTTTTGAAATGGAAAAATGAATGGGTTTGAAAGATAAATAAGTATACAAGGATAATCAAGAGATAGAAAATTGGATAGTAAAGAATCTTGAGAAACGGAATTAAACACTTGCAATCAAAGAAAAAACACAACAAGCACCAACAAATAGGGACTATCTTTTAAAATTCAAGAGTTCACTCTTTCAAAATGCCCCCATGCACTTTTCCCGAGGTTGACACCTCCTAGCCTTTTCTTCTAATTTCAGAGAGTTTTTCCGGACGGTCCTAGCTGGAAATACAGCTGATAATACTTTTCTTAAAAGATATTAACCAACCGAGATGATGGAAGACAATGTAATCAACTTTGCTGTAGGTTTCAAATCTTATGACATACCCAGAAGTGAATCAAGAGCAGAGATACGGTACAACTGGACATAACAAGGTCGTGACATGATCAGAAGGACAATTTTTCAGTCAAAAGGCAATGGTTTGGTTATGCTACACTCTCAAGGAGGCTTCGAAAGTGAAGGGAAACTCAGTGAGAAGATGAAAGTTCCAGGACCACTTTTCTCAGTTCTTCTGCTCGAGAAACTACAACAAACAGGGTCGTTGTATAAGTATTATAAGCACGCAAGGCAAGACGAGATCAGTCATTATTACCCCTGAACTAGCATCTAATACTGGGTGGTTCGATATTGCATTCAAAATATCAAATTTCATCAATATCAAAGCCAAGAAGGCAGTTACAACTGCTCCTAGGATTACAGAGGCAGGACTTCCTTATGCAGAATCAGTCAGAAGAAATAAATGGACAACAAGAGAAATGAATGCAGCCACTATGCAGGAGAAAGAAGGCATCATTCGCATTTCTGGAGTAATCAATGCTATTTAAAACGATCTTCTTTCTAGGAGTCTGGTGGGTGACTTTCCAGCCGGGATCTCTGAAAATCCTACTCTCTCAGAGATTCGTCGATGGGCCAGCAGCAACTGTTTGCAAATGCTCTCAAGTCTCAACATCTATGAGATGGGTCAAGGCTGTTTTCTCTTAGATTCTCATTGAAGATAATTGCAGAGCATGTCCTATGAGGGAAATGGAGCTGGAAACTTCACAAGCTTCACCTTCAATGGTGGTCACCTGCAATCAACCATTTTGGATCAGATTGGTAAGTATCCCTCTACAATTTTGGTCCCAGAAGGTCTTCAAATAAATTGGAGATCATTGAGGAGGATGGTTACAAACTGAGAAAGAAACAGATCTCCGAATCATGGTATCATTCATCAAACATCTTGTCCATACACATCTCAACAAAATGGGGTAACGGAAAAGAAGAATATGCACCTCATTGAGACTGCTCGTACCCAACTCATACAATCTCATGTTCCGTTGCGTTTTTTAGGGGATGCAGTTCTCACGTCTTGTTCTCTTATTAATGGTATGACATCCTTAGCTATCCAGAATCAAGTTCCATTCTCTATGTTGTTTCCTCACTCACCCTTGTGCTCTCTTCCACCTCGTGTCTTTGGGAGCACATGGTTTGTTCATAACTTTACTCCGGGAAAAGATAAGTTAGCTTCGCGTACTCTTGAAGTGTGTATTTCTAGGTTACTCAAGAATGCAAAAGGAGTATCGATGCTACTCACCTGACCTCCAGCGGTGCCTTATGTGTGTTGATATTACCTTCTTTGAAACTCAACAATACTTCACAGGCCTAGGTGATCACTTAGACATTTCTGAGGTGCTACCAGTTCTATCTTTTGGAGATTCAGACACCATTTCCCATTCACCTTCCTCCACGGCTCCATCACCTACAACTCCAACTTTAGCTCCAGTTCCACCACCTATAGCTCCTCCTCATCCTCAACCACATAAGTCGTACCCATACCAACCATTGAGGAATCCAGTGATGATCCTCCTAGATCTCCACCCACAGGAACACCACTCTTGATTTATTATCGTCGTCCGCCCCCAGCATCAAGCGCAGCTGATTCACGTCCTACACATGACCTTGATGCTACTGCGGACTTATCTCCTCCTAGTCCACTAATTGCACTTCGAAAGGTATACGATCCACACTTAATCCTAATCTCCATTATGTCGGTTTAAGTTATTATCGTCTGTCATCACCCCATTATGCGTTTGTATCATCTTTGTCCTCTATTTCCCATCCCTAAGGTAAATCTCATCCAGGATGGCGACAGGCTATGATTGACGAGATGTTTGCTTTACATATGAGTGGTACTTGAGAGCTTGTTCTTCTTCCTTAAGGTAAATCTACAGTTGGTTGTCGTTGGGTGTATGCAGTCAAAGTTGATCCAGATGACCAGGTTGATCGACTTAAGACTCGTCTTGTTGCTTAACTCTTAAGGGTATACTCAAATATTTGGGCTTGATTATAGTGATACTTTCTCTGTCGTGGATAAAATAGCATCAATCTGTCTTTTTCTATCCATGACCGTTGTTCGCCATCAACCTCTTTATCGGTTGGACATTAAGAATGTTTTTCTTCACGGTGATGTTGAGGATAAAGTTTATATGGAGCAACCACCTGGTTTTGTTGCTCGGGGGAGTCTAGTGGCCTTGTATGTTACTTGTGTCGGTCACTCTATGGTCTAAAGCATTCTTAAGAAATTGACATCGATTAATATTTTTCCCGTTTATTATTTCTCACAACAACAATGTTCCTTAAGAAATTGATCTCTGTTTTTTAAAAATCTGTGTTCAGTTTTTGGAAATTTCTTCTAGCATTGTGCTCCAATTGTAAACTAACCTTGAGTCCTTGACCGTTCAAGTCAAAGTAGACCATGTTAAGCCAGCCATTTTCATATAACCCACCCCAACTCATTTGGCATGGATTGATTGAACTCTCAATGGTTATCATCAGCTTCAAAGCACCACTACTTCTCTAGTCTATTATGCCCATTTTATCCTTATTTCGCTTCTCTCCATCAATTTAAGTTGAGCCTGAATTTATTTAAAGGTAATAAGTAAATTTTACTAACCGAAAGCGAACAACCCATATTTTTTATCAAGTAGAAAAAAGAAACAACCCATATACAAGACATAAACATTAACATATCCCTGAATAAAAACTTTCATAAAATCTTTGTTATTTAGCATTTGGTGCTGAACTTTTGATAATCTGGTTTCACTTAGGACCAAGTCCCAAACCAGAGAACTTTACCTCAAGCCACTCAAGGAAATGGATCCATACAACTCTATATAGCATAACTTACAAATACTTCACATAAACAACTCCGATAGAGAACCAACGGCAGCAGCTGTAAGCTATCTACATAAAAACAAACATAAAAGTACCTTAAAATCCTGAGCTTGGCAAATATACTGGGCTAACAACATCCACCTTACCAACTTATAACTAAAGTCTTTCTTTGGGATCTGGTTAAAGATCTGCGATAATATGCAAATAGTCATTGTTATCCAGCTAGATAAGGCAATAATTGTCGCTGGTGAGAGATTCACTCTCATAATAGTGCAGTTGATAGCATACATGCTTACCAAATATCACTTTTTCCTGTTCCGCAAAGATTGAGAGGAAGCTAGACAAAACTAGAAGGGATTTTCTATGGAATGGAAACAAGAAATACCTTTGATTTGGTAGGCAGGACAAGGTGATTAAAGGATATAAGGAGGAAGGAGTTGGGAATCAGAAAATTGAAATTACACAACAAAAGCTTGCTTTTCAACTTGGCTTTGGAGATACCGCCAACACATACATTGTCGGAAAATTAGTCCAGACGAAGTTTGGTGGTGAAGTTCCTTGGTGCACCAATCCTGTCTCACGTTCCACAAGATTAGCCTTTGGAAAGATAAGAAATCTTTGGGAGGAATTCTTAAAAAAACCTACTTCAAAGCGATGATGCTAAAATGCCCCAGGCTTTGGTCTAGTGTTAAAAGAGCAGCGCATCATATATCATGTGGGTTAGGCACATGCCACATATTTGAATCCTACCGCAAACAAAAGCCAGGCACTTAAGTGGAGAAGGATAGAGGGGCAAACTCACTATCCACCGACTCTCGAACAGTGCATCACTGGCCCTTAAAGATTTCTCGGTTATCAAAAAATTTCAGTGATGGCAAAGAGATATTATTCTGGAAAGATGCCAGGATGGACCACCCCCTGAATGAAACAATTTCTAATTTCTTTTAGTTTTGACTACACAGTGATGCAACTATTCGTAAAACAAGTAATGGCTCGGAGGGAATGTAAGGAGTTTATTATTGTGGTGATAGGGGTAGAAGATTTCTGGAAGGCTGAAGATGCTACGGAATACAATCCTTTTGTGTATTTTGGGATTGTTTGACTGGATTGGTGGAGGATTTTCGTCAATTACTTCAGCAGCTGGAATCAGTATATATTGATCAAAGTAAGGTGGACTCGCTGATTTGGTCCGCCAGTAAAGATAAAAGATTTTCAGTTAACATCTGCTACAACATGTTGATAATGCAGCCAAGCCAATGGGATGTTACTTGGCCTTGGAAGATGATTTGGAAGACAAAAGCTCCTGTCAAGACAGCAAGCTTTGAATGCATTGCAACTTGGGAGGCCCGCTTAACTAAAAACAACTTGAAGAAAAGAGGTTCTGCCTTATGTAATAGATGCTACTCGCGTGAAAAAAATCAGGAAACAGTTGATCACATATTCCTCCATTGCAGATTTTCTAGACAATGTTGGAAATTATTTTTAAACATTTGTGGCATTTAATGGGTGATGCCCCAGAATGTAAGGGGCTTACTGAAGAGCTGGCAACATCAAATGATACCTAGAGGGCTGAAGCAGATGTAAAATCACTCCACTTCGCATCTTCAGGACTTTATGGCGGGAGAGGAACAAGGCTTGCTGTGAAGGGTAAAGAAATCACATCTCTATAACTAAAATAGATGTCCGCATAATTTGTATTTGTATTACTGGCGTAAAAAAAGCTTGCTAGTGAGCTTGAATCAGTACAAGGATTTTTGGATTTGTTAGGAAAGAAAGTGTAGTAGGCTGCTTGTTTGGTCTCTGTATGAGTTTGTACCCTTTTGTACCATCTTCTGTCGATATAACTTTACATTATCAAAAAAAAAATGCGGGCGAAATAGATAACATTTCTTTGTAAAAAATAGATGTTTACAAAATTGTTACTTTTGGTGTAAGGTTCACAAGGTAGAGGATATGGCACAGTTTTTGGATTTTTTGGATAGTTCTTTGATAAAGGTGGAAATCATAATCTCCTCATTTTATAGTACCTCTTACAATACCTGCTTGGTATTAGTTCCAGATGAAATTTACATTACTTTATTAAAAAAAAATTAACGGGGTGGGAGGTAACTTTCATAAGAAAAGTCCAAGCTCTTGAATAGACTAGAAAACTTTTTGTTGTGAGGTTTTCTATTTTTGGTAGACTACTTGTATACTGCCATGTCTTGCCCTCTTTCTTTCAATGAAATTATTATTTTATCCACACAAAAAAAAGTCCAGTATTGGGAAGTAAAAAAGAATGTCTAAGCTCTTGAATAGACTAGAAAATGCACAAGGTTTAACTGAGGAACCAGATTTCCTGAGATGGAATGTCTAAAACTTTTTTGGAGTTATAATTTGTAACATATCTTCTATGTGTCAATAGAGGCTGAAGACATCAAATACTGGTTTACGGAACGTTTGACTGTTACTTAGTTGTGGAACTTGTTCTTAAACAATATTTGTGGGTAATGCCACGGGCATCTGAAGAAACTCTTTTTTCAATTAGTACAATGAGGAACACTATCTGCATTAAACTGGGAGCAAAATATTCAGGCCTACAAATAAGTCCCTGTCCATAATGACATAATTAACGATAATGTTCAGTTCTAAAAATAATTAAGCTCCACATTTTTCTGGTCCTCTTTTCCAACTCTTTTCCTTTTTCTCCTCTCTCTCTCTCGATCTCTCTCTCTCTCTCTCGATCTCTCTCCCTTTATTCTTCCTATTCCTAATTCAACCAAATTACAAGCAAAAAGAAGAGAATTTCCTGGTTTCTAAAAAGCTTTCACCTTCAAATTAATTAGCAGACATGGAGTTACGGCAAAACCAATGACAGATCTGAAATACTAACACACTTTCGCCATAACAGAAGAGAAATATATAAACTAAGAAGCGCATATTAACAGGTATATATTAGATTTTTAGATCAACAACATACCGTCAAAAATAAATCTTCCATAGCCGTTCCGGCAGTAGCTCAACGCCGCCGCAGACAGGTACATAATGTCAAAAATAAATTTTCCATAGCCGTTCCGGAAGTAGCTCAACGCCGCCGCAAACAGGTAAATACCGTCAAAAATAAATTTACCATAGCCGTTCCGGAAGTAGTTCAACGCCGCCGCAGACGGCAGATATGGTCGCCGCTGGAGAAGAGGCTGCGGGAAGAAAAAGGGTATCCAGAGAGATAGATTTACTTCCTGCCAAATCTGAAGAAAAAGTACAAAACCATTCACGTGTATTTGGGTCCCACATGTACAGTACACCTAAACTGACTAGTTAGGTGGAACTCTTTAAAAACATTTTTTTTGGGGCCAAATTGTGGGTCCCACTCCACTCATTTGCTTTTCTCTCTCTCACCAAAATTAGTATAGGACTAAAGGCGTGCGTTCTTTTTTTCAGTTTCGATTTTCTTTTATTTGGATTTTGTTTTTCTTTTTTCCATTTCTGCTTTTGAAGAAATACAATTCTCAATTTGAATCCAAATAATTTGGTTTATTTTTATTTTCCTCTTGTTGTTCAAGTTTTGGGTATAGTTTTTTGGATTTATTAATGCATATCTGGTTATGAAGTGAGCGATAAGTGTGTATAATAAAATATTAGTGCGCTACACTGATGAATTGAACATATGCCAATAATGATTATCTTTTTTTCTTCTCTAATAAGTATATAAAGTTATCTAGATTTATTTGAGCTTGCTGCAAAAAGATAAGTTCGTGAAACAAGAGTAACTTTTGTTGTATACCAATAAGTGGTTGTTTGGTATGCAATATATGTAGGGTAACAACAGCATAAATGCAATGTTATATAGCATTTGGTTAATTACCGCTTACCATCGTAAAGCTTAGCACTTTGAATCACAAATAACAACATAAGTTTTATGGGAAGCTATGTATTATTATTTGCAAGATAAAATATAGAAGTAGTAATACATGTAAGAAAAATTCTTCATATTTTGTTTAAACAGTAAATAAATATTTGAAATTATACATTGTATACTAATTTGTAATACATTTTATAAGAAATAATTTGTGCATTACTAATGTAGTGTCCTTACAAATTCTAATACTTTGTATATTAATGTATGTGTGCCAAATAACTACGGAATAATACAATAACATATAGACGTAATGTTGGGTGTATAACAATATTTGAAAGTGAGATAGCCCTAGAAAAAGATCACAAAAAGAAAGAACAAAAAATCTAAAAAAAAAATAGAAAAGCCCATGTTCACGGCATGCCTCCCATCGCGCGAGCCTGCACGAGGGTCAGGCCTATGCGTGAGCGAGGAGGCAAAAATGTAACAAGGCAGCGAGAGAGGCGCGCAAAAGTGCCAAGCGAAGATCAGCCTCATGCCGGCCCTCACAGCGCGTGAAAGAAGACACGTGACGTTTTAGATCTGAATAGTTTAAACTTATTAAGAGTTATTAAATAATTTTAAAAGAAAAAATACACTTAATAAATTAGATATTTGATGAGTAATTCAGATTCAAACGTCAGTTAAAGGAATCAAATGGGGCGAAAAACTCTATTTGGGATTATTTTAGGTTGAAATGGTAGGAAAAAGAAATACAATTGCTGGAAAATACTAACCACATAACCATAGATTTCAAAAGAAATGGGTTGCAGTTTATATAGTTTCCAACTAAGTTATCAAGTAAATGATATAATAAGGATTTGTGACTTTCTGTTTAAAACTATTTTTTTAATGTTATTCCAATTTCATTAAATACGTTTCCAGAAACAATATATAACAAGCTTGATAATATAGTCATTTTCTTGTTCCTTCGAAATTCCTTAAAGATATCTGTTCCAAAAATAAAATTATAGGCATTTCAATATTGTAAGTAATACTCCCTCCATTCCATATTATTTACGTTTTTGAATTTTTTTGTATACCTCTTAAGACAAATATTTAATAATCTTAATCATAAATATATTGTTTAGATTACCAGCTATTTCTCTTCAAAAAATTCACTTAATTAATACTTTGTTTAGACTACCAGCTATTTCTCTTCAAAAAATTCACTTAATTAATACTACACTAATTTAAATACTAGTAAGAGTAGATCAGGAAAAAAAAACAATAGCACTGCAAATAACTTCTTGCTTTTCTACAACAAACCCAATATAATCTTACGAGTGGAGTTTGGGGAAGAGTAGATTATTCGCAGACCTTACACCTATCCGATGAAGGTAGAAAAGTTATTTCCGATAAAATTTTAAGTCGGCCTCGGGAGGATAGGCTTTTTCTAAATCAAAAATTCTAAAACAAATTCAATTTTGTCAAAACAATTAATATTTGCGACAAAATGTAATATTTATCTATACTATTATATAGCACGAAGTCACAACATAAAATGTTGATCAACTTGTATGTATGGGTCAAAATCTATCTTTAGAATATTTAAGTCAAGATAGTACTAAGGGAAGAGTTCCTAAGTTGTCATTTGTCGAAGTGGCCCAAGAAGCGGCAAAATGAGTGGTCGAATAGTCAACAAGGGCCGAAGTCGAAGAGTCAACAAGGGTCGAGGCTAATATCGAGTACCTTTGTCATAGTTTAGGCTAATATCGAGTACCTTTGTCATAGTTTTAACCGCAGTTTCAAGATAGGATATTAAAGAGAATATTCACTGAATATTCTCTACACTTGTACTATTAGAGTTTCTTAGGAACATGTTCTATATAAATAGAAAAATACACAATGATAGGGAACATGTGATATTCATTTGTAAAAAAACGCACTTTGACTTGAGAAAGAGAATCGGATCTCACTTACTAAGATACAAACACCACATTTTTACTAAGATTCTTGTCTATACTTGTCACGACCCAACTTTCCCTCAGTTTGGGTATCATGATGGCACATAGTTTTAGGGATTAGGTAAGCCTAACAATAATTAAAACAACAACATTATTTAAATTGAATCTCTTAAAAATTTCCAAAACTGGTAGTACAAGTCATAAGCTCTGCAGAGTATTTTCTAGAAGACTTCTAAATACAACTGTCCAGAAATAAGAATAAACAGTGCAAAATAAAAACTGGAAGGTGACTCCGAAGCCTACGAACGCAGCAACAGGTTTACCTTAAGTCTCCACAACAACAATCCACACAGCTAGCTAAAAATAAGTACCTGGATCTATACTTGTTAATCGGGTCGGGCTGACCCATTTACAATCCGGGTCAACCCGGTTTAGCCCGGGGCAGCCCGTAAAGTAGCGTGGGCGGACTGGGACGGGTTGGGCGGGGAGCGGGGTTCAAACGAACAGTTTTTTGATATCGGTGCACCGGAACCCGCTAAGCCCGTTAACTCGTTAACGAGTTTTTAACAGGCTACAGCCTGGTTCAGCCCATTTTTAACGGTTTTTTTGGACCTTTGCCAACGGTCAAATTCAAATATTGCAAATTATCCTACTATTGCAAATGGTTTGGTTCATATTGCTGAAATTTCTCTTTTACTACATAATTTGAAGAAGAAAGAAGGATATACTTCTGTTGTTGAATCTATGCTAGATAAGTTAAAAAAATATTTCTACCTAATTCTCTCTATTTACCTAATTTGTGCTATTTTAAACCCTTCTATCAAAATGGACATTTGTCGCCAATTAATCACTACTTTATATTCTTATATGGATATTGGACCAACTGAAACTCCTGATATTGACACTTGTATTTCTGATCTCCACAAATATTTAGAAATATTATATAATTATTATGCTAACATTGTTGATGCTTATTCTGTTGTAGATGCAAATATTCCTTCTTCTGTGGCAACGCTTTGGAAATTCTAGTTTGCTTCAGAGATTGGATAAGATCAGAACGGCGAAATCAAGGGCGTGACGAGGTAGATGAAGCGGAAGACCAAGAAATTGGAGATATAATGGTTTATGGTTCTGATTCAACCAATGCCAGAAACTAAGAACATCATGTTGACATGGATGAACTTACAAAAATGATGCAAAGCATGTGATGTACTATTTCTTTTTCTTTTTTTATAATTGTTGTAAACTTTTAATTTGCAAGTTCAAAAATAACAAAATAAAAAAAGAACTTGTAACTTAATTTGAAGTATTATATATTATTCAATAAAAATATCAAATGAAAGTCTTCGGAGCTTGATCATTACATATTGCCTATTGGTCTTATTAAATAATTTTTTGTAGCTACTTACTTTCAAATTTCAGTTTTAAAATTATAAAATTCAAATTTCAAATTTAAAACTTTAAACTTCAAAGTTTAATTCTAAGCCTTAAAAGTTTGCAAACACTTAAGTATCAATAACATTGAATAAGAAAAATAAAATTTACTTTAAAAAAAAATGCACGCCCCGCTAACAGCCCTCTAAGCCTGAACCCGGACTGACAAAAAAAACCCGAAAAAATACAGCCCACAACGTTAAACGGACGGGCTAGTTTTTTTTGTGTCCAGCCCGTCCCAACCCGCCCGTTAAACACCCATACCTGGATCTGCACAAAAAAAAAATGTGCAGAAGAGTAGCAAAAGCATACCACAGCGGTGCCCAGTAAGTATCAAGACTAACCTCTATGGAGTAGTGACGGGGAGCAGTCAAGATATCCACTGGTCTAATAAACTGAACAAATATAAGTACACGAACAACAGAAGTATGATGTCTACATAAAGACTATGCAATACGGCTCACAGTACAGTAATGACAATCAGGAAGGAAACAACAAGTATCAGCGGAATATTATGAAAATGACATAGAAAAGTAAATGGAACATAACCTAAATTCGGAATCACAAATACATCAAGGACAAATAATAACTCAGCAACTACAACTGCTTTTACATCAGGTTTTAGTCAGCAACTCCACGAGGTACCGAACCTCGGACAAATCACAACTTACGGGTCTCAATACCTGAACTCTAACACTTGGCATCATGTGCCCTCATAACATCTCATAACCGCATTGACGACTCACGTGCCAATAGAGCCATTCTTACATAGAAGGCAAGTAAACAAGGGTGAGCATCTTTGCTCAACAATATCAACAACACCTCTTATCTGATTAGAGTGCTTAACTACGTATATGTTTGTGCAAGTGTCCTACCATAGTCCATATCAGCAAATAAGCAAAAGGAACAAGAACGTACAACACGTAGAATATTTTCTCACAGCTTTCATAAGATAAAGCTCACACAGGTATGTATACCACTTCACAAATATCAACAACAAGAATGCCCTCATGCC